AGAAAAGTAGGGAAAGAGGCCAGTTATAGAAGGAAAAATACTCAGCTAAATGGTTTCCTTTTGATATATTAATACTTCCTTCAAGGGCTTCTTTGAGGAAAAACAGACTTAAGAAAATGAGTTAGGATTTAAATGAACTCAATTGTCTTCAGAGAGATTTAAATAATTCCTCAATGAGTCTTTTTAGTTGGACTCAGAGAGGCCACTAATCTTTGTGCCTTCCTCTGAGCACAGGTCAGACTGAGGACATGGAGACAAGTAGGAAGACTGAACAGAGAAATGCAAGGGTGGAAGGTGGCAAAAGGGGGCTGGCAGGTTAGACCTGACCACCTCTGAAAGGAGCTCAAGGGAGCAGCAAGTGGCTTTAAAGAGTGCCAGATTGGCATGGTGTCAGGCCCTCAGTTAAAAAAGGAAGACCTGTAAATTCAGGCTTATCGGGTAAAGTCTTCACACCCCACACACTCTGCTGTTGATTTTCACCGCATGATTAGAATCAGAGAATCATGGAATGGTTTGGGTTAGAAAGGACCTTAAAGATCATCTAGATCCAACCCCCTGCATGGGCAGGGACACCTCCCACCACACCAGGTTGCTCCAAGTCCCATCCAACCTGCCCTTCAACACTGCCAGGGATGGGGCAGCCACAGCTTCCCTGGGCAACCTGGGACAGGCTCTCACCACCCTCACAGCCCAGAATTTCCTCCTCATGTCTCACCTCAATCTCCCTCTGCCAGTTTTCATCCCTTCCCCCTTGTCCTCTCCCTCCCTGCCCTTGTCCCAAGTCCCTCCCCAGCTTTCCTGGAGCCCCTTCAGGCACTGGAAGGTGCTCTAAGGTCTCCCTGGAGATGGAGAGGAAAAGGACTTGGAGATGTTGGTTGATTACCAGGCAGAGAGAAGACGTTGATGCTTGTATTTCTGAGCACCTGTGCAGGACTCCAGTGCAAGGGAGAGTGAAGAGCCCACAAAACTCCAGCTGGCAGGGGTGAGGGGAAGTAGCCATAGCAAAGACAGGAGAGCCAAGATGTGTACCTCTTGTTAACTGTAACAGAGAATTATGGTTTCTTATATCCCATTTTTCTTTTATAACCATGTTTTAAATTTGGAATTGGAAGCAGAACCTCTTTTTCTGGTGAAGTATATTTTCCTGGTCTTGCTCTTCTACTTACCTAGGGACAGTGATGGTAGGAGAATCTGACAAGCCCTAGGGACTTTGCAGAGCAGTAATTTATTGCTCTGTGTTACAAAGCAATAAATCCATGTACAGTAGTGAATAAACAAAGAGTCTGAGTCACCCCATCCAACCTTTGCTAGTAAATCTGAGAAGCTGGGAGTATTTTTCCTAAGAAGCAGAGGTCAGCTGAAGATTGATTACAAGAGCTTTCAGTGGAAAGAAGAGGGGTAGTGGGCAGGTGGCTGGCAGCAGGTGACAAGAGGCATCTTGTGACACTGGTCAATGTTTCAATTGAAGACACTGGGCTAAAACTGAGAGTATAAGGTGATATTTTTAGCAATTCCACAAAAATGCAGCATTGAAACAAGCAGACCTGTTTGTGGATTCAGGATCAGTTTCATAAACCTGAGTCAGCAAAAATAGTGCCTAATGATTTCCCTTTCCATAATGAGTGCCCTGCATATCCTGTGTCCAATTTCCCAGGTCCCATGAATGCCTGAAATCCTGCAGCGGTACCTGACAACTATCCTTAGGTTGTATCCTTATCCAGCGAGTTGTCCACTTGGGCAGTGTTGGTTTCTGCTCCCTTGATCTTCCTGTGTCCTGAGGTGCAGAGTGTGCAGCACCCAGCTCAGCACTGCCTGACACAGCATCCTGCCAGTCCCTCCAGAACTCCAGCAATCCAAATAATACAGTGCAGCCTTCATTGCTAATTCTCTGCCTGGCTCCCCGGGTGGGGGGGTGATGACTTACTTGACTTTGATCATGCTGTAGTGATCATGAATATTTACAGCCAGCTCCTCTGCTGCTAGCTACAGACAAAAAGCTCTGGAAATGCCAGGAAACCCCGAGTGTCCCCTCTGCCACCTTGGCTTCTCAGAGTAATTCCTTCCCCTCTCTGGTGCAGATCAAGTTGTTAGCATGCAAGGCAGTGCCAGCACAGACTGTACTGAGAGCAGAGTGACACTGGTGTGTGCAGGGAGGTCTGTAATGAGCAGAAGTTTGGTAATTAAGCACTTCAGCACAAGCTGCAGTAAAGGGACACTTAGGGAGAGATTTGTCAGGGAGAAGAAGGATGGCAAAGGGGGAGCACAGGCCTTTAGTCAGTACTATTTAGTATGATCCATGCTCATATTCTGTGCTGCATACCAGTGGGAGGGAGCATGGCCACTGGGACACACACACCTTGTCCCTGCAGCACCTTCATGGCAAGGGGAGCTTTTTACAGTCCTGTGTCCTTGAGGAAGTGTCATTTGCACTTGTCTCTTGCACACCCACACATAGAAAGCACCATCCATTCCCAAATCCTGCTCTGGCATCAGTCAGTGTGCCCTTGTCTTCCCCGCTAAATGACACGATGGAAACGCAAATCATAAAGTAAAGATGCAGACAGGTTGGATGGCATGGGGGGGGCAATAGGGACCCAGCAAAAGGTATGGAATGTCTGTGCAGCCCTGGGTGGGAAGGCAAAGGTGCTGTCATAGCTGGGCAGACAGGAACACAGAGGAGAGGAAAAGCAGGCCAGGGGTACTGCGGCTCCAACCAGCAACTGTCACATTTCTGTCTGTGTGTGTCCTTCAGTTTGTCTGTGGCCATGAACATCCAGCACAGGACTGTGTTCTGGATTGTACAGCCCTGGTACTGTGGGTTTCTGTACTGGGCTGAGGCCTCAAAGTGCTGCACAGCACTCACTGCCCTAGAGCCACACTGCCAGGTCACACACCTTCTGCTGAGGGCACAGTGACCTCATGCTCTCTTTCTGCTCAGGGCTTGGACAGTCTTTGCTCAGCTTTACTTTGCTGAGAGGAAATTCCCAGCTAAGCACTTCTTACTCATCTCTGCTCCCATCTTGTGCTGTGTGTGTAGAGGAGAACAGGGGCCTGAGCTGCTCAGCATCCAGGGAATGAGCAGTTGTCTCCACAGTGTAGCTGGCTGAGGAGAAGTTTAAAGGCTCAAACATGGGGGATATAACAAAGGTGTCTGCAAACTCTCCGGTTCAGACAGTTGCTCTTTCCTGCTCCTGATTTCTGGGCCTGGGCCTGGCTTGGTGTGAAGGTATGGGTATAGTCTAGCATGTGCTCGTCCATGAGTGTATGCCATGTGTTGCCTGTCCTGGTAATTCTTCCTCTGCCCCCTGCACAGTACAAACAAGTGGAGCAGTACATGTCCTTCCACAAGCTCCCTGCGGACATGCGGCAGCGCATCCACGACTACTACGAGCACCGTTACCAGGGGAAGATGTTTGATGAGGAGAGCATCCTGGGAGAGCTGAGTGAGCCCCTCCGAGAGGTAAGGAGGGGTGGGGAATGGGCAGTGCATGTTCCTGGCATCTCTGGAGCTCTCGGTGCTTTGCAGAGGACACCATCAGTTGCTGGGAGTGGTGGAAGGCCAGCTTTCCCACTAGCACTGGTTCTGTGTGTGCTCTAGTGTCAATCCGACATCCGTGAGTCTGAGCAGCCGTTAAGGCCACGTTTTGCTTGGGGCTGTACCTGTTCCTGTGCTGTGTCTGACTTCCTGGGAGAGCAAGGCCAAGAAGAACATGGTCCATAGCGTGGTTTTGTCTTTGTCGGAGACAGTTTGATTCAGAGGGGGAGGCTGTCCTCCCCACTGCTTGGCTGGGGAGAATTGTGCTGAGGTGATTCGCTCAATGCCACTTTCTGCCACTTTCTGAGTCTGAGCTGACATGGCAGCGGGCAGCTCCTGTGCAGTGGAAAGTGCTGTCATACCCTCCAAGTGACACCAAGCCACGGGAGGAGGCACAGTCCCTGTCTGCTCTATGACAGCTGAACAGCTGAATTGGGTTTTCTTCATCTGAGGTTGATGATCCAGCCCATGCCCCAGTGACTGGTGGGCACCTCTCCCTCCCCTCTCTTGATATCGTCCCCATCTGCCCAGGATAATTCTTTCTCTGACCCCTTGGCACGTTGGTGCTGTTTAATATCGCATTGACAAGGAAGGACAAGAGAGAACATAGGGCTGCCAAGGTGAGTTATAACATTTTCCCAGAGAGGAGCCCTGGTTTTTTTCATGCAGCATTTCACCAGTGCTCTCCACCTCTCTCCCAGCCCAGAGCTTCCTGCAGGAAGAGGTGTGCTGGTGGTGCTTGGAGGCTGGGAGGATCATCCCTACTCCAGGAGAAAGTGTGTGAATGAAAGCAGTGGAGCCTGGTGTCAAGCTGGCAGCTCCAGCTCACACCACTGCATGCTCCCAGCATCCAGAGCCTGTTCCAGCCTGTGCTGGGGGAGCCAGACTAAGGGAGCAGTGTTTTGTTTTCCACTTCCTAATGTACAGATCAAGGAGGGGATCTTCCCAGGTTAACATGTTTTGACTAAATACGTGTGTGTCTTTTCTGCTCCCTGTCGCATCATTTCTCCCCCTTTCCACCCCCTCTCCCTCTCTTTCTCTCTCTCTCTTTTGGATCACGTGGTGGTCAGGAAATCATCAACTTCAACTGCCGGAAGCTGGTGGCCTCCATGCCCCTCTTTGCCAACGCGGATCCCAACTTTGTGACATCCATGTTGACCAAGTTGCGGTTCGAGGTGTTCCAGCCCGGGGATTACATCATCCGGGAGGGCACCATTGGCAAGAAGATGTACTTCATCCAGCACGGGGTGGTGAGCGTCCTCACCAAAGGCAACAAGGAGACCAAGCTGGCAGATGGCTCCTACTTTGGAGGTGTGTGTTTATCAGTCACCTTTACTGATGCCCCCTGCTGTTGCTCTTGTGTTCCTTAACCCCCTCAGCAGGTTTGCTGATGGCACCAAGCTGTGGGGTGAGGTGACATGCTGGAAGGAAGGGAGGCCATCCAGAGGGACCTTGACAGGCTGGAGAGGTGGGCTCATGCAAACTGCATGAAGTTCAGCAAGGCCAAGTGCAAGGTTCTGTACCTGGGTTGGGGCAATCCCCAGCACAGACTCAGGGTGGGTGGAGAATGGATTGAGAACAGCCCTGGGGAGAAGGACTTGGGGGTGATGGCAGATAAGCTCAACATGAGCTCCGTGTGCTGGACCCCAGAGACCAACCATGTGCTGGGCTGCAGCAAAAGCAGCATGGTCAGCAGGGCCAGGGAGGGAATTCTCCCCCTATACTTGTCTCTGGTGAGACCCCCCCATGCAGTGCTGAGTCCAGTTCTGGGGCTCCCAACTTAAGAAGAGCATGGAGCTTTTGGAGGGAGTCCAGAGGAGGCCATGAAGATGATCTGAGGGCTGGCGCAGATCTGCTCTGGAGACAGGCTGGGAGAGTTGGGGTGTTCAGCCGGGAGAAGAGAAGGCTCCTGGGAGACCTTAGAGCACCTTCCAGTGCCTGAAGGGGCTCCAGGAAAGCTGGGGAGGGACTTGGGACAAGAGCAGGGAGGGAGAGGACAAGGGGGAAGGGATGAAAACTGGAAGAGGGGAGATTGAGGTGAGACATGAGGAGGGAATTGTGGAGTGTGAGGGTGGGGAGAGCCTGTCCCAGGTTGCCCAGGGAAGCTGTGGCTGCCCCATCCCTGGCAGTGTTGAAGGGCAGGTTGGCTGGGGCTTGGAGCAACCTGGTGTGGTGGGAGGTGTCCCTGCCCATGCAGGAGAGTTGGAACTGGATGATATTTAAGGTTCCTTCCAACCCAAACCAGTTTGTGATTCTATGATTAATTTGTCCTAGACACACAGGGATGTCAGCCTGTGGAACTGACACCTCAGGCACCTCCTCCTTCCCCCCTCTCTGTCTCTTTTAATCTCACCTGTTCTGCAACTCCCCATAGAGTAGATTTGGCAATGGGAGGCAACCAGGACTCATGGGCAGTGCAGAAGTCTGGATCAGAAATAATAACAAAACAGAGAAGGGAAACTTAGTTCTCCTGGGTTAATTTATTTTTGCCCCAAGCAAACTGACAAATCTGTGAAGCTGAGAACCTGAAGAAAAAAAATGGAGCATTCTCAGTTCACCAAGCAAATCTATAGTGCTCCTTGTCCTGCTGGTGGGCATCTATCATAGGAGGCAGTGTGTAAACACGGAGGAAAAGACATAGTCCATCATCTCTGCAGCCTGTGGCTCAGCAGAATGTCATGAGGGTCAGCAGGCAGGCTAATGGATCAGCAGCAGAGCTCTGCACCAGTGAAACCAGCATGAGGTCAGAAAAGACTAAGAGAAGATTTAGGGTATTGCTCTTAGGAATAACCCAGAGACACCCCTCCTACTGGACCCCTGTAGAGACCTCACTGACAGCCCAAGACAGAGAGAAGTCTGGTAGATGCATGTCTCAGTACTGAATGCACCACAATACTGAATGCCCACTGAGATGGGGCAGAATGAAACCTGCTTTCCCCTTCTGTAAGGACTTTCCTCTGTTAAAATACCCCTACCATGCATTTCCTTGCTCACAGCTTCCTTGCTCTGAAACAACCTGTCTGCACCTACCTGGAGTACAAGGATTTTGCATGTCCCTGGCAAATGGGGTCAGTGTGCTGGGAGGGGAGATTGAGGTGAGACATGAGGAGGGAATTGTGGAGTGTGAGGGTGGTGAGAGCCTGGCCCAGGTTGCCCAGGGAAGCTGTGGCTGCCCCATCCCTGGCAGTGTTGAAGGGCAGGTTGGCTGGGGCTTGGAGCAACCTGGGCTGGTGGGAGGTGTCCCTGCCCATGCAGGGGGTTGGATCTAGATGATCCTGAGTGTCCCTTCCAACCCAACCCATTCCCTGATTCCATGATACCCTGACTCTGAATGTCTGTGACATTCAGTGTGGTTCAGACACCACACACAAAACTCCTCTCACATGTTCAAAGCCAGCACAGTCTCATCAGCATCTTTTCCTTGGGAAAGCAGCCTAATACTGCACCTTACAACCCTCTAGTGCTGCTGTACCAGTGCTTTGGGGTAGATCCAGATTAATCCTGAGAGCGGTGCTGGTGGATTGACACCCAACATACGGCAGAGAGAAAGGGTGCTGTCAGTCTTCTGGTCACACCATCTGTCCTTAAGTGCCTGTCTCTGCCTGTACTCTGTGTAATCAGTGGAAAAGCAGGACTCAGGAGCTCTGCTGAGTGTTCAAGGAATGTCTGTGCCCAAGTCAGACATTGATGGTAATCGGGCTTTCTGTTCTGTAACCAGCTGAGCATCCTCCTGGGAGCAGGTGACTGCAGTGTAAATGCACCAGGAGTTGATAGATGCCACCAAGTTGGCTTTCCCAGACAATCTTTAAGCTTGTAGCAAAAGACCTCAAGAATTTTGAAGAGTCGAATGTTGTGGGCGTGGGGATCAACATCACTACCAGGCACTAAAGGCACAGGCCAGCACAGAGCCTTTTCCACAGATCTAGAGAGACAACTGGCTTCAGTGAGAGCACAGCTTGACCTTCTGCTCCCTCTGCCCATGAGGAGCTGGAGAAGAACAGCTTCTCCAGTCTGGTGTCTTTGATAATCCACCATAACTAAACTTCCCTGGCTGATGAGACCAGCAGACTCCCTGAGGTGCAGTGTGTGTAGCAGCTGTCGCAGCTGAGCCCCCTGGCATTTTAAAATGCTCCTGCAGAAAACCACCCCTCTTCATGTTTGCGGTGGGACAGCACAGAGTCCAGCTAGCCAGGACGCTGGGTGGCAGGCAGGACTGCTTGGGAGTGATAGTGCCAGGGGTGCTGGTGTCTGTCCCATGTTCTCAGGCTGGTGTTTCATTGCAGAGATCTGCCTGCTGACGCGGGGGCGGCGCACGGCCAGCGTGCGCGCTGACACCTACTGCCGCCTCTACTCCCTCTCCGTGGACAACTTCAACGAGGTGCTGGAGGAGTATCCCATGATGCGGAGAGCTTTTGAAACCGTGGCTCTTGACAGGCTGGACAGAATTGGTAAGTGGAAGGTGTGGGGGTCTCCTTCCCAGTACCTGCTGCCCCAGCACCACGTCTCCAGGCTTGGTCCTTGGTTCCTTGGCTGGAGTTGTGAACTGAAGGAGATCCCAGCCTGTCTCTCCTTGTCTGACTTCAGCATCTACAAGGAGCCCCATTCACAGTCAGTTAAGTCCACAGCCTTCTCTCTCCTTCGCTCTCACACGTGCACATTTCTGCCAGCTCCTACTTCCATTCATTTCCAAGAGGTCTTTTTGATGACCTGAGATCTGAGGCCATCAGGGCCACCCTGGGCAATTCACTTGATTTTGAATTTTAGCTCAGAATGTGTAAATGCACAATTGATCAAAACCCAACCTCCCACAGCCCAAAGTAAACACAATTAACCAAAGAGTATTACTGGGTTGTTACAGTTCCTAGTGATCCATCCCAGGCTGCTCTCCTGTCCCGTGGGAGACACAACCTGTGCTGCAAACATCCATGTCTAACTAGAGAAGACCAGGATAACATTCCTTGGACACAACTAGAGACGTTTAACACTGAAAGATAAAGTGACTTATGCAAGGTCATGCAAGAAGCTTTTGCAGAGCTGAGGACTGAGCATTTCAGAGTCCCAGTCTAATTTCGTTAGCTTCTTATTATACATCTCTTAAAACTACGTGCAGTTTCATTGCTTTTCAGAATCAAGAAGGTCAGTGCAGGTCTGAGGACAATGCAGAAGGCAAGGAGGATAATGGGGTGAGGGGGTAGGGAATAAGTTGGCATCCCAGCAAGGGGTGCAGTGCCTCTGGGGCTTTTCATGCCAGGAACATTGTATTCTGTGCATCTGATTACCTGCTGCAGATCAGAAAGCGTGATCCCTGAGGGAAGGGTTATGAGCTAAATATGTAGTTTGGCAAAGCGTACACTAATGAGGCCCTGGTGTAAGTGGCAATAGTCCCATCACTTGGGTTATTTAAATTAGACTTCACATACCACTAAGAAAATTTAATGCCAGATGCCACCAGGGATTGGCCAGCTTTATCTCAGATTCTTCAGCTTTAGGTAGTCAGTGCTGCTCAGCTTCCTAGCCTGGTGCTCTCTGGGCCTGCGTGCAGGTGGGCAGGGCATGCTGTGCTCTGTGTGCCACTGCACAGAACTAAAATGAATGGAAAATTCTGAACCAGCAGAAAGAATCTCACATGCTTCTTCCCCCTGCCACAGACAGCTGCAAAATGTCAACTTAAGGTCAGAAGGTGGCACAGAGCACCTGGAATAACAGGTCCTTTGGTGCATTGTTCTCCCCTCCTCCTACCATTCTCTAACCTGAGACAACAGCAGTCCTGGTGCCAGATAAAAGGCAGAGAGATCATCAGGGCTGTGGATTGAAAATGCTAGTGCCACTCCTGTTTCCCTGGCAATCACACTTGCTGCTTGTTCCCTCAACGTTACTTCCCCTACTATTGCAAAACAGTATCTTCTTAGCACTTTCCAACCCCCTTGTGCCCAACACTCCTTGGCTGTAATTTCCCAAAAGAGCCTAAGGGAGTAATGCACACCCTGCTGAAACTGGCAGATCCCATGGAAATCCCTGTCTTTATAAAGAAGGCTTTTCTTCACCTTCCCCTGGAACATGCACCATCCAGACAGAGCAGTGCAGGAGCTGTGTAACGTGTATGTGGCAAAGCATGGGACTGCTTAGGGAAGTCAAGATGACAGTGTCCTGCTGAGCTTCTCTCTGAACGTTAGAGGGATTTTTCTGTGGGACTGAAGTTATGGAACAGCAGTTCAAAAAATCCAGGTATGAAGAGAAGCAGGGTGATATTTTTGGTTCATGTTACATTCAGCTCAGGATCTCTACCCAAGCTGGAAGCAAATGGGAGCTGCTTTCCAAAGTCAGTGGTGCATTCACTAACTCCCTTCTCCCTAGGTGACATGTCCATGCCACACTGAGTACATGACATGATTCAGAGGCCTTTGTCATTGTTCTGGTACCAGGACAACATCCATCCAGTGCAGTGAGGAATCAAGAGAGCAGGGAGAAAAATCCCAGTCCCATCAGTCACAGTGACTGGAGAGATGTTTGCAGGATTACCTGCTCCATGGAGGATTTGGAAAGCATGATCCAAGCTTGTCTAGGTAGCAGGGAAACAAAATGAGAAGGTAACACTTCATCCATTGAAGCAACAAGGACCAGTCCTGGTTGGCTGGAGGTGTGATGGAGCATTTCCTTTGCAGATCAAATGCAGTTTGAAGCCTGAGGCCAGGCAGAGTGGAGGAGAGGGGCAGATGAACCCTGAGCTGTATGTCCCTCTCCTCCTGCTGGGAGTGGGGCAGGGCAGCAGCATGAGGGACACAGCCCCCCAGGGAGCTGTCAGCTCCATCAGTCCTCAGTTGAGAGCCTGGTGATGTGTCCTTCTCACCTCTGTTGTTAGCGGGAATTGATGTTGGCATCCTGCCTGTGCCATACATGGCTGGGGAAGAAGTTTCCCAAGTGTTTGGTCGCTTGTGGAGCTCTTTAAAAAGTAAAAGGGATTATACTCCATGAATTTACTAAAGCTGGGATTCAAGAAAGATTTGTGTCCCTGCTTAACTGCTCTCTGAGTTACTTCAGACTCTGAAGAATTCCCAGACAGCAGAACATGACATGCCTAGCTCAGGCTCCAGGCCTGAAGACTGAGACTCAAGGAAATTAAGCTGATCACTGGTTAATTTTTTTCCTTTTTCCTCTGACCAAGCTGTAAAATCCCATGTAGTATTTGTGTGTTGAACTGATGTGCTCTTTCCTCCAGTGAGTAATTCTTGATCTGACAAGCATTTGCAAACCATCCCAGTTTGTGATGTGTCAGTTAGTTACGTTAAGTCTCATCATTCTCTTCCTTACTGGCCCTGGAACTGGCTTTCAGTGACCATTGAAGCTTCAAATTAGATTTTCACAACTATTTGCACTTGTAAAACACAACCCCTGAAACATTCATTGAAAGTAAATACAGCACAGGTTGTGGATGTTGTTGAATCAAAACTCCCTGATGCTTTTAAAAAATACTGGGGGGCAATTATTTTCCATCCTTCGTTGTGCAGTAACAAAGCCCATGGGTGTCTGTCATAAGGTGGCTTCCATCCTTATCTAGGTCACTGTTGAGGGCTGCACTAATACTTACAGCCAGAGGAAGTTCTGTTTTCATTTTCATCAGGAATTTTTCACCACAATTTGAATGCCAGTTGCATATGTTTTGCTAGGAGGATCCCAGTTAGCCCAGGATTAAAAGTGCCTTCCATTTCCCCAGGCATTGCAGATACTAAAAAAAAATAAAACAGAAAAGCTAAGACAACACAAACACAGTCTCTAATTAGGTAATATTTTTGTGGTACAAGAGTGTCTGTGCAGGATATTATGCTGGTAGAAGTTTTAAAAGCTTTGTCATACAAACCAGCCACAACACTTTTTGACCGGGCACCCTATTTATCAACTCATAACCATGCTTGTGCCATTGAAATCCTTCTGGCTTTGCAACCCTGCTTGTCCAGGTCATGGCAAACAGTCTGGGTTCTGCTGCCTCAGAGGAAGGGCTGGCCTGTGGTGGGCCAGGTGAGCTGGGAATGAGAAGATCTGGGACCTGTGCCAAGCTCTGCCACACGTTCTCTGTTTGTCCTTGTCATGCCTTTGCTCTGTGCCTCAGTTCCTCATCTCTTCCATAGGGAAAATAATACTAACAGAGGTGGAGCTCAGGCTCTGAAGCCTGCTCTCTTGTGGCAGCTGCTCTGCAAGATCAGATGAATAAATGAGATGTGTATCATTCAAACAATATGATCTCAGCATAAATTTATACTCCATCCACATTGTAGTCCCAAATTTGTTTGCTGTATGCAGGTGAATAACCCCCAAAGAGCTGCACATGTGAGATGATCAAGCAGATTTGGTCATAAGCGAATTTATATTGATATGCTTCTTAGTTGAAGTTGCTGACACAGGCACAGGTGGTGTAAAAATACAAGCTGCCCAGGTATGCCCTGCTAAAGTGTATGTGCTTTGAGAGAAAGCTTGATTTCAAAATCACATTGAACTCTGCTCAGTCCTTTAAAGAAGTGTCTGAGTATCCAAGTACTGAGCAGGTGGGGGTATCAGGGACTAACAGGTAACAGCTTCTCCTGTGTTGTGTCCTCTCTGATCACCTGAGTAACCCACAAACATAACTGTTTATGAGGAGTCCAAGTTGAAATACCAGTTTATATACTCCTCTGACTTGGAATCCTCTCCCATCATTTCCAACACTACAATGTGTAGATCTGGATCTGACATGGGTAGTCAGCAGAGAGAAGAAGGCAGCTAAGAGTGTGATTTGTCTTCTTCTAAGGTGGCCATCCAAGATGGCTGAAGTGACTGACCCCTTGGGAGCACCATCCACCACAGATGTGCAGGGCTTGGACTGAAGCAGGAAATGAATATTTTAATCTCTTTTTATTTGGCAGTGAAGGCTCAGACTGAGTCTGTTCTGTTTAGCCTAAGGAAAGGTATCAGGGAATGCAGATTACTTCAGCTTAATTGAGGTGAACTGGCAAGGCTGTTCACCTGAAGGTGAAATACCATGTCTCGTGCATCTCTAGAAGGAAAATAAAGCCTAAGATTTCCCAAGAGAGTGAACAGTGGGGGATGGTGATAAGATCTCAGGAGACCTGTATTGGAATTTGTAAGTGAACTTGGTCACTTCAGTTTATCCCAACTCATGTCTACCTTCCAGGGTGCAAGCTTTCTGGAAAGTCTGGTGTTCCAGGCAGGAGTCAGCAGTACCACAGATGGCTGGCTGGGGGATGTTAAGCAGAAGCACAAAGTTGGGGTAGTGGTAGAAGAGACAGTATATTTGTGCCCCATTTCCATGGGTCCCCTGACTTACTGGATTCCTTTTATATTTAGAGATCTATATCCACAGCTCTTTGCTATCTGCATCAAACATCTGCTCAGACAACAAGTTACCATTCCAACACCTTTTAAAATTATCATCAACCCCTCTTTAATTATGTGAAGT